ACAACCTTTGCCATTGGTTCTGAATGAAGGGTGGGAGCTGCAGTTGGAACCTGAAACAGTTTTGCAGTGGAGGTATTCGGCATGGGGTAGTTTGCAAGTTCTGATTAAATGGAAACAACTCCCAGATTTTGAGAATTCATGGGAAGAGTTCGAGATCATCAACGTTCAATTCCCGCATTTCCACCTTGAGGACAAGGTGCTTAAAATGGGGGGAAGTATTGATAAAGCCCAACTCATAAAGGTTTACAAGAGAGATAAAAATAGGAGGACTAGGATTTCAAGTGCTGAAGTTGGCCCAAAGGAGAATGTTGGTATAATTGGTCCAAGTGCTGAGGACCCAAGAGAAGGGGATGACCAAAATATCCCCTAACAGAATGTGTGTATGAATCACGAAGTTGGTTACGGAGGAATGGGTTAAAAGGAGAGCTAGGGTGCTATGTGCACCATTCTGGAATCTATTGGAGTGGAACTTGGGAGAGAGTGTGGCCTCTCCAACTGCCTCACGCCTATCTTTACGTTAAATCTTGTTATTTCCTTTTGAATTCACTGTAATTGTCATTGTGATTCGTTTCTGTCTGTAATTTTTGTAGAATATGTAGAATATTCTAGATAGTATTTATTGATCCAGTTGGTAGTTGTATATTTAGTTGGTAGTTGTATATTTATTGATGTAGTTGTTGGTTGTATATTTATTAAAGTAGTTGAGGTAGTTGGATGTACTCAATATAAAAAGGACCCATTGGGTCTCTCAATGAATCAAGAAAGTGTTATTTAGACAAAACACTTCTACTTTTCTTCCTGGTATCAGAGCCTGGTTATATTCCAGTCTCTTCCCCGTTCTGATTTATTTTTAAGTCATTTTCCTATTCCTTTTTTTTTCGTTTTAGCCACTGCCCAAGTCAGAATCCTTACCTAGACACCTCCAACCACGAAACCAAGGCCACCATTAGGTTCAGAACAGGATTCTGAGCCAGCCCACAGAAGACTTGTAGCAGTACTGTTCATTACTGTAGCAATTACTGTTTCACTGTAGCCAAGATTGCTCTCATTCATTGATTTTGGCGAGCAACCCTCTTCCTGTTTTGAGGGTCAAAATCGTATTTGGAGGAACTTTTTTCTGGGTACCTGTTGTTAGAAAACCATGGACGCTGAAAATTTTGAAAATTCGTCTTTTCAGAAATTGATGTCTCAACCTACTAAGGCAACTAGTCATGTTGCTCAAAAAGGTATGGTATTCCATGTTGAACGTAGTAATCGTTGGATCCTTGATTCAGGGGCCTCTGATCACATGACAGGTAATGCAACCTTATTTTTCTCCTATACTCCTTACTATCACCCGTCACGAATAAGAACAGTTGATGGGAATTTCTCCACTATTGCGGGAAAGGGATCCATTAAACTTTCTGAGCATATTATTTTGAACTCAGTACTTCATGTTCCCTCTCTTACTTGTAATCTCATCTCTATTAGCAAACTTACTGCTGAGTTGCATTGTGTTGCTAAGTTCTCTGCAAATTCTTGTATCTTTTAAGAATAGGACTCGGGGATGATGATTGGCAGTGCTAGAGAGGAAGAAGGGCTCTACTATTTTACAGATGTTCATTGTGAAAAGAGGATTTTTTCGAACCACTCTCTATGTTTATCAGATGACTGTAATGATGTTTTGTTATGGCAACGTAGGTTGGGACACCCAAATTTTGTTTATCTCCAGAAGTTATTGCCGAACTTATTTATCAATAAAAAGCCAAGTTCCCTTCTTTGTGATATTTGTCAGCTTGCAAAGCACTCTCGTGTCACTTATTCTCCTAAGAAATATCATGAATCTTCTCCCTTTACATTGATTCATAGTGATATTTGGGGACCTGCTCGTGAAAAAAATGTCTTGGGTGCTCGTTGGTTTATTACTTTCATTGATGATCATTCTAGGGTATGTTGGGTATATCTCTTAAAGGATAAGTCTGAGGCAGCATCCACTTTTAAAAACTTTCATGCTATGATTCAAACTCAATTTCAGACTTTTATCAAAATTCTACGAACAGACAATGGTACTGAATATTTTAATTCAGTTCTTGGAGATTACCTAAACCAGCATGGAATTATTCATCAAAGTTCTTGTCCTAACACCCCTCAACAAAATGGGGTGGCTGAAAGAAAAAATAGACATCTAATTGAAGTTGCTCGAGCTCTTTTATTCACGATGCATGTCCCTAAATATCTGTGGGGGAATGCCGTCTTGACAGCCTGTTATCTCATTAATCGGATGCCTTCTCGGGTACTAAATTTTCATTCTCCTTTATCCTGTCTTACTAAATCTTTTCCCTCTTTCAGTGCTCTTTCTTCTCTTCCTCCCAAAATATTTGGCTGTGTGGTTTTTGTGCATATTCCTCCACATCAAAGGTCCAAACTTGACCCTAAATCCATCAGATGTGTCTTCATAGGATATTCCCCTAATCAAAAAGGTTATAAGTGTTACTCACATTCTCTCCGTAAGGTTTTTGTTTCCATGGATGTTATCTTTTATGAGACACAATCCTTTTTTTCCCCGACTTCTCTTCAGGGGGAGTCTATTGGTATTGGTATGGATGAAGATAAGCCTGGGAAACCAAATGATGTTGTTGTCTTACCTTGGCCTTTGGAAACAGGTGAAGTTATTGCGAAGGAAACAGGGGGAGCAACTATTCCTGAATCTAATGATCCTTCTTGTGATCCTCCTGGTAAATGGGGAAAATTTTACAGCAGGCGCAAAACACATGAAGATACTCTAGACTGCCAGGACCCTGACTCGAGTCCTTGTTCCAGCAACCCACTTGAATGTACTAGTACAGCCAACGTTGATATGCCTATTGCTCTTCGGAAAGGTACTAGATCTTGCACTGCTCATCCTATTTCCCATTATATCTCATATGAAAAGTTGTCTCCAGGTTTTCGTGCTTTCAACACTATGTTAGATAGTACCAAGATACCCAAAAATATCCAAGAAGCACTTGATGACCCAAGATGGAGGAATGCAGTATTAGAAGAAATGGATGCACTTACAAAAAATGGAACATGGGAGTTTGTGACATTACCTAAAGGAAAGAAAACTATTGGTTGCAAGTGGGTGTTCACATTAAAATTCAATGCAGACACTAGCATCAATAGGTATAAGGCCAGATTAGTTGCTAAGGGATTTACTCAGACTCATGGGATAGATTATCAGGAGACATTTGCTCCTGTTGCCAAACTTAACACTATCCGCGTTCTGCTATCTCTTGCCGCCAACCTTGATTGGCCATTGCAACAGTTAGATGTTAAGAATGCCTTCTTGAATGGTGATCTCCATGAGGAAGTTTACATGGATCCACCTCCTGGTTTTGAAAAAGGGGATGGTTCTGTGTGCAATTTGCAGAAGTCTCTCTATGGACTTAAACAATCTCCCAGAGAATGGTTTGGGAAATTTACTCAAGCTGTTAAGGGAGAGGGTTCACCCAAGCTCAGACTGATCACACTTTATTTTTTAAACACTCAGACAAAGAAAGAATTGCTATTCTGATCGTTTATGTTGATGACATAATTGTCACTGGTAATGATAGCGAGGAGATAACCTCTTTGAAAAAATGTTTAGCTGACCAGTTTGAACTAAAAGATCTTGGATCTCTCAAATATTTCCTTGGCATGGAAATTGCTCGGAGTAAGGAAGGAATTTCTTTAACTCAGAAAAAATACATTCTAGACCTGTTGCAAGAAACAGGTATGCTTGGGTGCAAGCCGGCAGAGACTCCAATTAAAGCTAATATTAAGATGGGAGTTGAGGACGGGGAAGATGTTGATAGGGAGCAGTACCAGAGACTAGTAGGGAAATTAATCTATTTGTCTCACACTCGTCCTGATATTGCTTTTGCTCATGGTTAGCCAATTCATGCATTCTCCTAAGGAAAAACACCTTAGTGCTGTTTATAGAATTCTCAAATACCTCAAAAATACCCCTGGTCGAGGAATTTTCTTTAAAAAGGGGCACAAAAGGATGATTGAAATCTATACAGATGCAGACTGGGCTGGCTCTGCAATGGACCGAAGATCTACTTCAGGATATTGTACTTATGTCTGGGGAAACCTTGTGACCTGGAGAAGTAAGAAACAAATTGCTGTTGCAAGAAGCAGTGCAGAAGCGAAATTTCGGGCTCTAGCTCATGGTATTTGTGAAGGAATTTGGTTACGAAGGCTTCTGGAGGAGTTGAAGATCTCTTATTCCCTACCTATCAGATTATATTGTGATAATAAGGCTGCTGTCAGCATTGCTCAAAATCCTGTTCATCATGACAGAACAAAACATGTGGAAGTTGATCGTCACTTTATCAAAGAGAAATTAGAAGACGGTAGTGTATGCTTGACATATATACCTACCAAGGAACAGACGGCGGATATCCTCACCAAAGGATTACTTAAGCCGACCTTTGAGAATTTGATCAGCAAGTTGGGAATGATCAATATATATCTCCCAACTTGAGGGGGAGTGTAGAATATGTAGAATATTCTAGATAGTATTTATTGATGCAGTTGATAGTTGTATATTTATTGATGTAGTTGGTGGTTGTATATTTATTAAAGTAGTTGAGGTAGTTGGATGTACTCAATATAAAAAGGACTCATTGGGTCTCTCAATGAATCAAGAAAGTGTTATTCAGACAAAACACTTCTACTTTTCTTCAATTTCTTTTACTGATTAAATGAAAAGCTGAGTATTCAGACCCATATTTCAGTGTTCATTTTGTTAAACTTCTCATATTACTGGTTGAGTTGTATCAGATTGCTTGACTGTCAAATTGGGTAATTATTAAGACTAGCTAAGTTTTGGTATTTAAGAATTCTTTCCATGTAGTTTGATATCACTGTTTGTAATTTTGTCATTTAAGTTACTATTGAGTAGTTCTGTTGATTCTATCTTTTAATCTTTCACTTACCGTTCCCTTAACTCTGTTTATGCTACATTGACAATGTTTTTTTTATTTGACACATTCTAGGTGCAAAATCTCATAGAACGATGTCTGCAACTATATATGAACCCAAAAGAAGTTGTGGAAACGCTACTAACTCAAGCAAAAATTGAGCCTGGTTTTACTGAACTTGGTAGTTTCTTTTGTTCGGTAGCATGATTTTATTTTAGTTTTTTAAATTTTTTTTTATTCTGCTATACACACACACACACAAGCTGAGAGTGTGAGGTCAATTTGTTTCAAGTAAAATCAATCGTGACTATCCATGTGTGGCTGAATGGTCAATATTAGCTCTTCGCAAACTCTCATTTGATATGCCATATATATATATATATATATGTGTGTGTGGCTTTGGTGCTAGTTTTGTACTAGTCCTGGGCGAACAATCTTAGCGTCAGCCGTGACGCCACTCAATTGCAACTGGGAGACATAATAGAAGGTCTGTGATACACCTCCACCCCTTAAAAGGTATTTGCGAAAGAAGTTCAAGAGCAAGATGGGTACTCAAAATGACCAAAATAACAAACCCACACACGCTGCAATTGTTGATTCAACAACAAATCAGTTAGAGGAAGTCACCACACATGCTGCAATTGCTGACTTAGCAACAAATCAGTTAGAGTAGGTCACTCAGCACCTTTTAGTGGGTGAAGGATCACACGTTGGGGGTGCTTAAATAGAAAGAAAGGGGAGTAAACCAGGAGGCAAAAACTTGGGAATTTTGGGAGGAAAACAGGGCTTCTTGAATTGTCCTGATTACCTTTGATCTTTCTGCTATTTTGAGTGTCGTCCTTTGCTTCTTCATCGTTCCTTGCTTATCAAGATCAAGCAGCGCTGCAGACATCACCCTCACCTACCAAATCGTGTTGTTGTGTTGATGATCAATTGTGTGCTTTTGCTGTCCCTTTCCATCTTTTGGCTTTCACCGCTCTTATTAGCGTGGTTTATCTTCCTATATTCTTAGCATTTTTTAGTGACATAATGGTTGGATGTGGGCTTTGGATATGTGGTTACTGGATAGAAAAAAAGTTATAGATAATTTTTTAGAACTATAATTTGAGATTAAAGTATTTTGGTTTTTGAGAATATATAAAAATTACAAAATGTTGATTCTATTAGTTATTTAATAGCGAGCACATTAGTCTATGAAAAAATAAAAAATAGAATAACATACTTATAATAGTGGTTCTTAAAAGATTAAGAAAGTATTTCTGTATTTTTATAAACTATTGTATTTACTGTCAAATTTCTCAAAAGACAAATTTAGATATTAATGGAGTTTTATACTTGCTTATTATAGTCTACTCAAGCTTGGTTTAAAAATAGAGAAATATTCATCAAAGAAAAGAGAAAAAATTTAAAGTAAAACAAAAACAAAATTTCTTCAAAAAAAATATATGAAGTAGTGGCTGGTGGGTAGACAGTAGACAGTTAGAAAAAAAATAGCAAGCATAAAAGAAAGTATTGAGAATGACACGATGCATAATGGTTTTGAATCTTTGATAACTATAATTTACAATACTATTTTGGCTGAAAGTTGTTTTATTATTTATTGGGTTTTTGGCTGAAACTTGTTTTATTATTTATTATTGTGTTTTTGTGTTTTTGGCTGAAGCTTGAAAGCCTTAAGCTATCATTTCTCTAATCTTTGATTAAATATAGTTTGAAATCATATGGCTTCATCAAGTGCTGTTGATAGTAGTAGCACTTTGGCTTCTGTAAGTGTAAGTATTGAAAAAGGTTTTCAGTATATAGATATTGAATAATTACATGAGGAATGAAGAGTATTTATACAAGAAAAAATAGTTAAGCATGACTCAGCTATGACTCACCAAACCTAATCACAATCATAAGAATGACTCGGCTATGACTCACTAAACCTAATCACAATTAATTCTAATTAATTACAATTAATCCTAACTAATAGGAAATAAAAACAATGAATCCTAATTAATCTTAATTATTCCTAATAAATAAAAACGGAAAAATATTTGAATTTAAATTTTGATTTTCTACACTCCCCCTCAAGTTGGGAGGTAAATGTTGATCATTCCTAACTTGCCAATCAAGTCTCTGGCCGGTGTAGGCCCTTAGTGAGAATATCTGCAATCTGCTCTTTGGTAGGAATATACACCATACATACACTTCCATCATCTATTTTTTCTTTGATAAAGTGGCGATCAACCTCTACATGTTTTGTTCTGTCATGGTGAACTTATTATCACAATACACTCTGACAGGTGGGGAAAAAGAGATCTTCAATTCCTCAAGGAGTCTTCTTAACCAAATTCCTTCACAAATACCATGGGCTAGAGCCCGAAATTCTGCTTCTGCACTGCTTCGGGCAACAACTGTTTGTTTCTTACTTCTCCAGGTCACAAGATTTCCCCAAATATAGGTGCAATATCCTGAAGTGGATCTTCGGTCCAATGCAGAGCCAGCCTAATCTGCATCTGTATATATTTCAATCATCCTCTTGTGTCCCCTTTTAAAGAACAATCCTCGACCAGGGGTGTTTTTGAGGTACTTCAGAATTCTATACACTGCACTCAGGTGTTTTTCCTTAGGAGAATGCATGAATTGACTAACCATGCTAACTGTAAATGCAATATCAGGCCGAGTGTGAGATAAGTAGATCAACTTCCCCACCAATCTCTGATACTGCTCTTTGTCAACTTCTTTCCCATCTTCGATTCCCAATTTAATATTGGGTTCAACTGGAGTCTCTGCTGGCTTGCACCCAAGCATTCCTGATTCTTGTAACAAGTCTAGAATATATTTCTTCTGAGTTAAAGATATTCCTGCCTTACTTCGAGCAACTTCCATGCCTAGGAAATATTTGAGAGATCCAAGATCCTTCGGTTCAAACTGATTAGCTAAACATTTCTTCAAAGAGCTTATCTCCTCGCAATCATTACCTGTGACAATTATGTCATCAACATAAACAATGAGAATAGCAATTTTACCACCATTAGAGTGTTTTAAAAATAAAGTGTGATCAGTCTGAGCTTGGAGGAATCCTCTTCCCTTAACAGCTTGAGTAAACTTCTCAAACCACTCTCTAGGAGATTGTTTAAGACCATAGAGAGACTTTTTCAACTTGCATACTGAATCGTCTCCATTTTCAAAACCAGGTGGTGGATCCATATAAACTTCTTCATGTAGATCACCATTCAAGAAAGCATTCTTTACATCTAATTGTTGCAAGGGCCAACCAAGATTTGCAGCAAGTGATAAAAGAACTCGGATAGTATTAAGCTTGGCAACAGGGGCAAATGTCTCTTGATAGTCTATCCCATGAGTTTGAGTGATCCCTTAGCAACCAGTCTGGCCTTATACTTGTTGATGCTGTTATCTGCATTAAACTTTATTGTGAACACCCACTTGCAACCTATTGTTTTCTTTCCTCTGGGTAATGCTACAGACTCCCAAGTTCCATTTTTGTTGAGTGCATCCATTTCTTCAAAGACTGCATTCCTCCATTTTGGATCATCAAGTGCTTCTTGGATATTTTTTGGTATTTTTGTACTGTCTAACATAGTGTTGAAAGCACAAAAACCTGGGGACAACTTTTCATATGTGATATGATGAGAAATAGGATGAGCAGTACAAGATCTAGTACCTTTTCGGAGAGCAATAGGCACATCTAGGTTGGCTGTATCAGTGTTGCTGGAACTAAGACTCGAGTCAGAATCCTGGCAGTCTAGAGGCTCCTGAGGTGATTCTCTCCTGCTGTAAAACTTTCCCCATTTCCCGGGAGGATCTCCATTATCTGACACATTAACTCCCCCTGTCTTTTGCATAATGACTCCCCCTGTCTCCAACGGCAAAGGCAAAACAACAAAATCATTTGGTTTCCAAGACTTATCTTCATCAAATGTGACATCCATAGAAACAAAGACCTTACGAAGTGAAGATGAGTAACACTTGTAGCCCTTTTGGTTACGAGGATATCCTATGAAGACACATTTAATGGACTTAAGATCGAGCTTGGACCTTTGATGGGGAGGAACATGTACAAAAGCCACACAGCCAAACAACTTAGGAGGAAGGGAAGAATGAGCTCGGAAAGAAGGAAAGGTATGGGTAAGACAAGATAAAGGAGATTGAAAATTTAGGACACGAGAAGGCATCCGATTGATGAGGTATGCTGCAGTCAAGACAGCTTCCCCCCACAAATATTTAGGGACATGCATGGTAAACATAAGAGCTCGAGCAACTTCAAGGAGATGTCTATTTTTTCTTTCAGCCACCCCATTTTGTTGAGGGGTGTTAGGACAAGAACTTTGATGAAGAATACCATGCTGGCTGGGATAGTTTCCAAGAACAGAATTAAAATATTCAGTACCATTGTCAGTTCGAAGAATTTGGATAGGTCTGGAACTGAGTTTGAACCATAGCATGAAAGTTTTTAAAAATGGATGCAGCGTCAGACTTATCCTTTAGAAGGTATACCCAACATACCCTAGAGTGATCATCTATGAAAGTTATAAACCAACGAGCACCAGAAATATTTTTTTCACGGGCTGGACCCCATATATCACTATGAATCAAGGTAAATGGAGAAGAATCATGATGGACTCTAGGAGGATAAGAGACACGAGAATGTTTTGCAAGCTGACAAATATCACAAGAAAAAGAACTGGGATTTTTATTGATAAATAAGCTTGGGAACAACTTCTGAAGATAAATGAAATTTGGGTGTCCTAACCGACGATGCCACAACAAAGCATCATTACAATCATCAGACAAACATACCGAGTGGTTCACAAAATTTTTTCCTTCACAAGAATCTTTTTCTAAATAATAAAGTCCTTCTTCCTCTCTAGCACTGCCAATCATCAGCCCCGAGTCCTGTTCCTGGAAAACACAAGTATTGACAGAAAACTTGGCAACACAATGTAACTCAGATGTAAGTTTGCTGATAGAGATAAGGTTACAAGTAAGAGAGGGAACATGAAGGACTGAGTTCAAAGTAATGTGTTCAGAAAGTTTAATGGATCCTTTTCCAGCAATTGTAGAGAAGCTGCCATCTGCTGTTCTTATTCGCGATTGTTGATAGTAAGGGATATAAGAACAAAATAAGGTTGCATTACCTGTCATATGATCTGAAGCCCCTGAATCAAGAATCCATCGACTACTATTATCAACATGGAACGCTATACCTTGTTGAGCAACATTGCTGGATGGAAATTTACTTTCAATCAACATGGCTGCGTGTAGTAACGCGTAGGGCTGACGCTTCGTCCTTTCTCTAGCGCGTGGGGGCGCGTGGCTCAGCAGAATCCGATGGTCCTTCTTGAAACTTGTAGATCGGCTCCTTCTGTTTCGAATGGTGCAGATCTTGGTCAGAAATGTCGCCGGAAAAATTTTCCGACGACTGCTGACGGTGGCTTACGGCGGTGGAAAGCTGGGATTTTTCCTTCTACAGTGATTGGTAGCCTTACTTTGCTCTTGGGACTTTGTAGGAAGGGAAAATAACCTTAATAATGGTTAGAGGTTGAGTTTTCCGGCGTTGTGCCGCCGGTTTGAAGGTGGTTGTGGTGGCTGAGTTTTCTCAGCACCAACCTGCTCTGATACCATATTGAAAAAGGTTTTCAGTATATAGATATTGAATAATTACATGAGGAATGAGGAGTATTTATACAAGAAAAAATAGTTAAGCATAACTCAGCTATGACTCGCCAAACCTAATCACAATCTTAAGAATGACTCAGCTATGACTCACTAAACCTAATCACAATTAATTCTAATTAATTACAATTAATCCTAACTAATAGGAAATAAAAACAATCAATTCTAATTAA